TGATTGGCGTCCTTTAGTGAGTTATTTTTCTACGGGATGAGGTCTCTAACCCGATGCCCAACCCTCCTTCTTTATCTTAGTTTGAGACCGGCACTAGCCCCAGAGGGTCTCCAGACGGAGTTAAAACTGTTCAATATCTAAGTTTATATATTGTTTGAATAAATTAATTTTAGGAATCGTCGGATCATGTAGAAGCATTTGTACGAAAGGCAAAAGGATTTCCAACATTCATTGTGGTAATATTGAAGCAGTTAATGGAGGATTATCTTTTGGATCTCACTTCTATTTGTTCATCAGTTACACCGAAAATGATTTATCCTTCACATCCACATTTACAAGTTGACATTCCATTAACAACTTCAAAAATATACATTCCGAAAATGGACAATTCAAACTACATCTTAGTATTTCATTGTAATTGATTAGATCTTTATCGTATTTGAAATCCTCTAATCAACATTTCAGATTGATTCGACTCTACTGTGAAATAACCATTTGTAGTCTCATTCACTACTCTTTTTGTTGTGACTTTCTACATTCATTTTGTTAAACGAATTGAATTTGACATAAAATTATCTATGGTGTGTAATTGTTTTTATTCTATCGTAAATCTCTAATTTTCTTGAGGATTGTGAATTTGTCTGTCAACATACTTCAAATCAGAGAGGAAGTGACTATTCTGTGGAGATTCTTTGTGACATTCAATGACGAAAGACTGTTAGTTAGATGTTGTATTGTGTCAGCTCCACGTGTTTATATACCGATTAATGTGATTAGTGAAATATACACCATTTTGTAATGTCTCAATATGTGTTGTAGTTCTTCTGTTGTACTTTGAGGGTAAGGTAAAACTACGGTATCAATCCAAGAAATTTCATTAAAATGGTTATTTACAGAAATACAGTTTCTTTCTGAGATAATCATCTTGATTGGTCTTGTGAAAAGATATAATGCTAGGGGCATTTTTGTACTGAATGGATGTGCAGAGTTAAAATCAACATACAAATTTGAATGTGTCGGTTTTTGATATATGACTAGATTTAGACTACTACAGGATTTCGTTACATCAAGTGTATGCTAAACATCTGAGTGGTTCCCTGAGTTGACTCATCCACTATGTGCAGATGTCGTTTAAACAATGAGTCAATTTTCATTCAAATAACTGTTAGGGATCCGACACTATCAATTAATTCACAAAAACCAGATGCAGCACGATTACAGTCGGTCGAAGAGTAATTCAGTGAAGTATTGCAGTTTGAAGATATACGCCCGTTCGAAACCTAGTGATTATCACTTTTACATGTAGTTCCGAATAATATTGTTAATGTGCTTACAAGTCTTGTTGTCTAATTAATCCATGGTTTGACTTTGAATGGCCCACATTTTGTTGGCTTGTCCAGTGAGCAGTACAACAGATGATGAGCACCATCAAAACGTCAGTCACAGTTCTGTTTCACTAGTGAAGTGAGATTAGAATCAACATCAATCTTTGCAATTCCTTATTTTAAGTTGTTTCGGATAGTTGGTAGGCACACCGGTTATTACAGTCGTTTAGAACAGCACTCAGGTTATCACTGCTCATCGCCTAATCCAAATAGGATGTTAGTTTCATTTGATTCACTGGGAAATATCTACGATCGGTTCATTCCTAACTGCATGGTCATATATATTTCAACCACCAGATGTCTGTTTACGTCGATTCTCTTATCCTCTAAAATTATCAACAGAACCTGTTCAGCTGTATGAAAATTGCAATAGGAAACATGAGACACACTTGTTTAACGAACAATTCTATATTTTGGATAGATCAGTTCTCAAATATGTATTACTGCAAAATGACAATCTATGATTTGCTTCACACATATAGTTGCTAGTTTATGAACTTGAATAGATCATGAACAAGTATTCGGATAGGATAACATGAATTCATGTTTTTTCTCCAAATCCTCATCAGCTACTTAAAAACCATGAAATGTTATTACCAAAACTGCACACAAAAGTCAACTTATATACACAAGTGAAGTCGATTGAAAGTATATACACATCATCATGAGGATTAAAGGATAAAATGAAATTTATGAAATGAAAGAATTGCAAACAAATTCATTGTACACGAGAAGGTTGTGGAACATCAAAGATAATAATGACAAAGATCAAATTGTGGTGTATGTTACATATGTCAACAGACATATATAGTAGGTGACACTAATCGAAAGCTGAGTGGCTGGCAGCAGAAGGTTAAGAAGATCGAATTGAAGTAAATAGAAACGGAAATAGAAAGGAATTGTGAATTGGAAGAATGTAAAAGACAGTTGATGGAAGGTTTGCAAATGAAGCATTCAATGTATGGCTCTCGTATTTTTTGAAGATATTCTGTACGTAATAATAAACTGGTTGTCCCCATCTGAGTTTTATACCACTACAATAGAACTAATGATGAATGAATGGAATTTATGAATCATGCTGTGTTTTTCTTTCATTTCTGTTATTACTCCGTCTGCTTAAAACAGAATGAATCAGTCTGTGAGTGACAATGTTACTAAAGACAAATGGAGGATGAGTTTCTTCAAAACTTTATGTTCCGGTAGAAGACAAGTGGCTTTGGACTCTTTTGAATAGTTTCTAGATAAAGGATTGTTGTGTACAAGAAGAACACAAAACTTAATTAAATTGTGTTTGAACAAATGACCAAGATTTTTACATTAGAAAATCTCTCATGTTGGAGCAGAATAAGGGATGTAATTTCACAAACAACATTATACTGTTTATTTCAAAGGTTTCCATAAGAAAATATTATCAATAGGATTTCAAGAAGGAATGTCCAAAAGAAGCATGAAACAAAACAACAATGATAATCTACATAAGGAACTTTATCATCAACAATCTGAACACAATTATCTGAAACGAAATAATCTCACTTTACACTATTAGTAAAGTATTTAGGCTGCCACATATCTGGGCAGCATGATTGATGAACACAGTGAATTTGATGCAGATGTGAATGTGTGAATCGGCAAATCGACAGCAGCATACCTACAACTGGAGAACATCTACAACTCAAAATAACTGTCTATCAACCAACACCAAAATCAGAATTTTCAATACAAATTTGAAGACAGTTCTACTGTATGGGGCGGAAACTTGGAGAATTACGAAAGCCATCATCCACAAGATATAAGTGTTTATTAACAGTTGTCTATGCAAAATATTTCGAATCCGTTTGTTAGACACTATGAGTAACAACCTATTGTGGGAGATAATAATCTAGAACAAGTCAAGAACAAATCACATGAAGAAGCACTGGGGTAAGCACTTGACTGCGTCACAAGGCGTGCCCTCCCTTGGAATCTGCATGGCCAGAGGAGAAGGGGAAGACCAAATAATTCACTACACCGAGAAATAGAGATGGACATGAGAAGAATGAACAACAATAGGATAGAAGTAGAAAGGAATTCTCATGAGAGAGTGTGTTCGAGAATGCTGATCGGTGGGCTGTGCTCCATTGGGAATAACATGCGTAACTTCAACTTCAACAACTTGATTTCAATGCCATTATACACTGAAGCTCTTTTCAGTCTGCTACAAAAGTTGCCAAATAGGTGTACTGTGATCATCATGTAAAACAAAACACTATACTTTCTGGTCTTATGGACGATTCATTGTTTCAATCATTAATCACGTTAATGAATAATACAAAAATACAATCTAACTTATCACAAAATCAAGGGTTTGTTAACGTCTAATAATCGAGATATTTCTGATGTAAAGTATGTGTACTTCTTTTGTTTTTATGGAATAATATTGATGTTTTTAATTTGTAAAGAACTCCGTCTGGAGCCCTTCTGCGTCTACTGCCAGTCTCATGACCGGATAAAGGAGAACGGTTGGGCAGGGAGGTTTAGCGACCTCATCCCGTAGAAAACTAACTCGCTAAAAAACTCTAACCAGAAAAATAATTCAAGTAATTTGTAAAGATTTTTTAAAAGGACAATTCATAACCAATGAGTCGTATTATTATCTCACAACTACATTTTTGCTATCAGAATTCTTTTCTTTTTAATTCAAATACTCAAATCGTTGAATAAATGATGTTTAAGATTCCCAGGATGATTCCCAACATTATTCAAGACACTCCTTGTAAAACATCGTTCTTGGTTTCTATCCCTTATGTAACTATGAACACGGTCAGTCAGTCAGTCAGTAACAACGTAGAACTTCGTAAGTAAGTGTATCAGCTCAAGTTACCATACCACATTAGCACAGAAATACAATGATCGATTAAAATCCTATAGTGGTAGAGATAGTAAAAGTGTGATCAGTAATCAAAAAGGGATGTGAAGAATTCAGAAGATTTTCAAATAATACACTTTGACTCATGATCTCAACTATTGAAATTACTATAATATCCACAAAAATCCCTACTCATAGTATTCATCGTCAAATCCTCATTAGTGACTGTCTTCAAGAGTGATTTCTTGGAGTTCTAGTGAGACACCGTCACCCGTGAAATTCAACCAGATCTTTTGTGAGATAGTTACTCACTGAATACAATGGTAGACGTTAGTGCTCAAGTTCATGAATTGGTTAAAATTAGGCATTAACAACACTGAATGCCGGCCAGCTCAGTGATCTAGATATTAAGCGCTCGCGCGCACAAAACGGATACATTCTGAGTTGGAATCTCCCGAGACGGGATCCTGGAGTCCCATACTAGGACGAAATAGCCGTCTAGTCCTTCCAGATTTTTCATAGTAGTCTAACTTTAATTAAATCATGAATTCATTGATGACAATTTATTACAATCTCTACCAAAAACCCCTCTCTCATAATAAATAAATTTTGCTGATTATTTAATTTTCCCACCTCAATTTTTTTGAATAATATAAACCAATCAGAATAAAGTATAATAATTGTTTCTGTAATTTTATTGTTTTATAAATGTTACGCACTCACACACACACACATGCACACACACACGCACACAAGATAATCAACAACAACAAAACACAACACAATTTGTTACTCTATTTATGATTATAAAAGATCCCTTTTGCCATTTTTATTCATTTATGTAATACATAGTAACAGGTTGATATTATTTCATTACGTAATCATCAATTACATAAGTAAATAGTCTTATACAATATAGTACATACCATTACATAGAAATAACCAAAAGTAAGTGAAATGTTTCATGTTAACTAAGGGGGAGGGTGAGTTTTATTATGTAGAGATTGTAGTAATAATGTGTTTTTTTTAATCGTTGAATTCATTAATCGATTAAAGCTTGATCACTTTGAAAAGTCCGAAGTTATCGGGTTCGAATCTAATCGGGGGTTGAGATTGTGAATGAGCCATGCTGAAGAATACCATATTAAGATGAAATGGATATTTACTACCTTGGTGGAGTTTTGTTCTCTGAGCTGGATGGTTTGGTCGTGGAGCTTTTTCATTGTTCTTCTGAACGACATCATCAGCACAAACTTCAGACAGAAGTGAAGCGTTCAAATTTCTCCATATGTGTTTCATAGCTCATTCTGTGCACCTCGATGTTGATTGGTTTTTATTGACCAAACCATCCAGCTTAGAGAACAAACCTCCACCAAAATCATCCATTTGAGCTACAAATCTTCTCCACCATATCAGATATTTAGTACTTTCAACTTTTCCAAGATGATCTAATTTTAATGGACTCATGAATTTGACTATCAAAATTTTTGATTTGTTAATGAAATCAATTACATTTATATTCTTGATATTTTTTTGATAGAGTTTTATTCTCTAAGCTGGATGGTTTGATAGATAGATGTGTTCTACAATCTGAAGTTTATGCTGTAGTGTCGGTTATTATGTTAAGCCTATTTACCTTATTCTATCATTCGGACATCCCATTCTATTCATTCTACTTGAGTCACATTTTGGCCTTGTTAGTTATTCGCTTATCAGTCTTGACTGTTTTTATATGAGCGCGTAGATGTGTGTACACTTATTATCCCATTACTCATCACATGTCTGTAGCCTATTTTCTTGCGCCTATAAATATGAATTAACGCTTGACTAAGAAGGAGTTGGCTTACCCTCCATCTCTACTGTGTGTCATTTCTCTTCTCTCTATTCCATTCGCTTCATATACCAAATTATATGTATTCAAAAGTCCATTCTCGTTATTTGACTTATCTAAATCCGTTATTGACTAACGCGATTAAAGTTTTTGTGGCCCGTCTGATCTGACTCCTATTTAGAGCGTACGAATGTTTGTTATCGCCTTTTCTCGTATATCATCGTCGACTTAAGTCGCGTTATCCAATAACGGAATTAAATAAGTCGAATAACGAGGATTGACTTGAGAATACATATATTTCGTACATAAAGCGAATGAAGCATAGCAAATCAAAAATGACACGTATGGAAGATGGCTGGGAAGCCAACTCCATCTTTGTCATGCGTTACTCAATATTTATAGTCAGACAAAATAAAGCTACAGACATGTGATTAATGGAATAAGAAGGGCACACACATATACGCTCATATAAAAACAGTCTAGATTGATAAGCGAATAAATAACAAGGTCAATGTATGGCTCAAGTAAAATGAATAGAATGGGATGTTCGAAAGGTCGAATAAGGTATATGGGCTTGGCATAATAACTGACACTACAAAGTCGATGATTATACATGAGGATAGGTGACATATATATTTCAACAACAATCATCACTACAATCGCCTTGGAGTCAGATCTCGTGCCACTAAAGTGGAGAGCCCTTTCGACTACATCGTTCGATCTAAATGACGACAAAATTAAGGGCCCCACAATGCTAATGATGTCGTTCAGAAGAAGAACGATGAAAGCTCCATGAATAAACCATCTAGCTTAGAGAATAAAACTCCATCAAAATCATTCACCTAAACTATAAATCCTCTCCACCATTCTTGATACTTATTCATAGTTAACCATTTTTAACTAAGAAAACTATATTAATAGAAGGCATTTAGTTATAGAATAGTGAGTGCGAAAAATCTGTTCTACTATGACTGATTATTAGTTATGAAATCGTAGATTTGATTCTAATTCACTGAAAGAAATTTAACCGTCATACGACTGTTTATGATACTAAACTAGGCAGAAGCACTCATCAATATTACTGATTAGCCATTTCGTCTTAAGTGAGTATTATTTATTTATTTATTTATTTTAAACATATAAATATCGGTACAAAGAGGCACCAAATAGATATGCGCCACAAAAGTCACTTGATTTGAGTGTGGGCTATGATACCGTTAAAACCGAAGCAGGTGCTTTTATTAGAGGGCCACACCTGGAGCCTTCGACCTAAAGGTCTGATCCACAAGGCAATGGAACTGCGTCAGGAGATGCAGTTCCATGGTAGGGGGTGAACAACGATAGGTTCATACGCCATTTGTTTCTTCAGGATCCTGGAGTACATGTGCACCGTTGGTTTCGAATCAAGGTTTACAAACTCCCTTAGGTGAATCCTCCATATCCACCAACCAGGTCAAAGTGTCGGATATTCGGTTTTCGTCCTCTCGATTTCATAAACAACACCAGTGGCACGAGAATGCAATGAGTAGGACTTCCCTGGCAGTGGTTGTATGCACGTGGATATGTGAGCGCTGACCGTTGGCCGTACCAGGGCATTTTGGCATTTTTACTGATATTGAAATGATAACTGAATACACAGGCCAAAATTTGTGTAGGATCATGAAAATATAGGATTACTTATTTGTTGTTTAAACATTCCAGTCTAACAGGATATCAGTAAATACAGAATGTCCTATTGGTCACAGCCGTGATTTTGTCTCTGTATGAAGGATGTTTATACCATACAGAGATAATTACCTGCATCATGATTGTATTTATGACTATGAAGAAACCTATATTTTGGGATTTTCATCAGTCGATCAAAGCATTAAAGTAGGTCTGTCGTAACATGCATACGAATTCCAGATTTCTTACTTACTTACTTACTTACTTACTTAGTTAACACACTTCAACTGTGACTCCCGATGGAGCATAGGCCGCCGATCAGTATTCTCCAACCCATTCTGTCCTGGGACTTCCTTTCATTCTTTTCATGTCTGTCTTCATTTTTCGGCCTAATGTTTTCTTTGGTCTTCCTCTCTTCTTTTGACCTTAAGGAATACAAGTGATTACTTTCCTTGTGACACAGTTAGGTGCCTTCCTTATTGTGTGTCTTATCCACTTCCAACACTTCTTCCTGATTTCATCCTCCGCTGAAATCTGATTTTTTCTCTCTCACAGAAGGTTGTTACTGATAGTGTCTGGACAACGGATCCGAAATAGACAACTGTTAATAAACACTTGTATCTTCTGGATGATGGCTTTCGTAGTTCTTAATATTTTGCGTAAAATACGCCCAATATAAGAAAATGGTATTGTCAATGTAATTTGCCTTGAAACTAAATAACTGTACACGATACGTTTTTGTTTACTTTTTTATCCCTATATGTCTATGTTTGACGAATATTTAAATGTAGTTCAGTATCATTCGTAATTCAGTTATAAACAAGATAACATACCTCTTTATGCTCAAGAAAAAGTCTATAGATGAAGTAGTATCTGTAGACATTTCTGTAACAAGTTTGTTTATATGACATTAATTAGAAATTGTTAAGTTCATTTTGTTTTCAATTACCATTTAATCAGTTTCTAATACTAACTGTTAATATATGGATATGATAGATAAATATAATTGTGGTATGAGCTACTTATATCCACATAAGTAGTATATAGAATGTATTTCAGTAGATGATCAAGAAGGAAAGAATGGGAACAGAAAGCAATTGGTATGAAATCCACTTCTTCAGAGAAATACAAAATATTTTTAATGCTAAAAATCCTTAATTTATTTGAAACTATCAACTTCAACTTTGGTATGGATATCTATCACGTCCTTGATCTGCCTACCCAGTTTTGTGCAGAGGATAACTTGTCTAATTTAGATTAAGACCTTGACTCAATAGACTGACTGACTTAACCTTGAGGCTTGTATGAGTGAGTTCGAAATGAAATCAATTGATTGATGTAGAGAGCGACGAAAACTATTCTATCACCTGATTGGCTGACATGCACGCAAGTGAGAGAAGACAAGTTAATTGGAACACTACACGATTTATTCCCAATACATATCAATTCACTTAGTGTCGTTTCACTTGAAGCAAACGGTACTGGGTTTGAGTCTCGGAGCGAACATCAACTCTGGAATATAGGTACATCCAGGTGACGAGTCCCAAATAGGACGAAACAAGCGTCCTGGATCCCACTACTAAACACTATCCAGTTTTGCTTATAATCTATTTATATATTACTCGTATACAAGATGTACACTTGACCTACTACAATTTGGCGGAGCGTATTATAATTATTAGTGCTAACATTATTGTTAAGTTTTTTATCAACGTCAGTCAAGTTCTACTATCTTATGACTTATGTGGAATGCTTTGATAAAATTTTTCGATTGAAATAACTTGATTTTATGTCATTTTAGTATACCAAGTTAGTTGATAAGCATTGATGGTTTATGAAATTCAGTTATCTCAGGTTGAATTTATTTTCTTACTATCATATTAAATTGGTTGAGTTTCAAGTGAGATCACGGACCAATCGATGTTAGACAACTTGGAAGCATTGGACTGCCGTTTCGTTCTCGTCAATGAACATTTACGATCCCGTATGTGGGACTCGAACCTCTAGACCACTGAGCCGGCATCCAACGGTATTAATAGTGAAATATATCATTCAGTCGAACTTATTCTTGTCAATAAATCACTAAGAGTGTAACTATGTCAGTCGAAATTCATATACATAATCGTTTGATCATTTTAAAATCAGTTGGAATGCCAATCAAAAACAAGTGACAAACACGACTTACTAAAGATAATTTTATAATAGAAAATGATTAATAAAATTTTATGTTTAAAATCATGAGTCAGTTAAAGGTAGACCAACATGGAAAACCTGGAAGTACTGGATGGTTGTTTCATTCTAGTATCATGCGCGAACGCTTAAACCCTAGATCACTGAGACGGCTGGCATCCAATTGTTTTAATGTCTAACTTCAACCAGTCCACAAAACTGCACCACCGTCCACCATTGTCTTCAATGAGTTGATATCTCACAACAGACCTGGTTGAAATTC